TTGTCTTGTAAACTTTTTTGAACCACTTCAAATGTTGACTATGTAAGGGTTAATGTCCTTCGAGGTGTCCATTATCAGGTATTAATGGGCGACGGCGAGGCGTGAGCGCATGAACCGTTGCCTCCGCTGAAGTCCATTAATACCTGACAATGCACACCTCGTCGGGCAATAACCCGCTTATACCACGGTCACTTGCCAAATAACAAATTTTTAAAACATTAGTTTATATTTTAATTAGTTTTACAATCGAAATCTAAAGTTTTTACAAACAATAACTTGGTTTCCCTGTTTACGCCTGACGATTTATTTAGCAACCGGAGATATTTATAGTGCGCTCCGCTCGGAGAACCCTTCAGTTTAGCTAACTCACGAGCCAGAAAGCTAACGTATTTATTTTCCTGTAAGTTAGGCTTGTCTAGCCATGGGCGTTACACTTTCATTTTTTTTAACCTATAAGTATAGTATAATATAGTATAACGGCTAAATAGATGTTTGTTTTGATACAATAAATTGTAACTGGATACTTTGACTGCCTGTTGCTATGGTTACTCACTGCTGATGTAGCCAGCGCATTTGTTTATTAATTTCGAACGGTAAACAGTCAGTTTCACCAGATCTCCTTTACTAGGTGTCCTCTAGCACTTTATAATGGACACCCTGCAGCCAATCAGAATCCAGTATTCACCCAGACCATGGTATAATGTATGTTAAAATAGTCCAAGTGACTCCAGTGGTTCAACCTTAATGTTATGAAGCGACAAGAATACTTTTTTGTGAGCAAAAAAACGAACAAAAATACATTAGGGATGCCCGATATATCGGTATCGGCCGATATGTTTATTTTTTGTGTTATCGTTATCGGCCCGATAAGAAAATTTGGCTGATATATTAAAGCCGATAAATAATGGATTATTTCCTTCAGCTGAGACGCTTCAGATGCGCACTGTTCAACATGATGGTTTGGAATTGCTTGAAATATGATTGGACAAAAAGAAAAAGGAAAATACAGTTTTATGCAACATGTGCGGCACAAGTCTGTCATATAGTCTACGTAAAATAATAATGAGAACATTATGAATGTGTGCTTAGGATATGGATTTTAACAGTGAGACTTTTGTTTTTGTAATCAGGCTCTCAAGAATGAAATACAAATTTGGATTTAGATTTATCGGCCAATATATCGGTTATCGGCTTTCAAGTATAAAGAATTATCGGTTATCGGTATCAGCCAAAATGTTGATATTGGTGCATCCCTAGCAGTGTCATGTGCCTGACCAGTGCAGTGATCGCTAAAGCACAGTCTTCAACTCTAGGTGTGTAAATGTGTGTGTTGTCTCTCTCGTCACAGCTGAAAGTTCCCACCACAGATAAACCTGGAGTGTCAGTGAATTTCAGGAAACTGCTGCTGAATCGCTGTCAGAAAGAGTTCGAGAAGGATAAAGATGATGATGAAACGTTTGAGAAGAAGCAGAAAGAGTTGGATGCTGCCACAGGGGTAGGAAAAAAATATCTCAATTGCAAATTTTATTAACATTATAAATCATGTAAATGAACACAGTGCTGCACACTATGCTGTTATTTGAATTAATTCTCAGCTTTTGCAACTTCATAATCGCCCTCAGCCATATCACGCAGTGTTTTCCCACACTGCAGGGATGAATGCTTACTTTGACATATGGTAACTTTTGACTACTGTTTGAAATGATTTGAAATGATTTATCTCAGGAAGACAGTATGCAAATTGTTCGAAGTAGCATACTAGCATGCCAATCTATGACTATTTCCACAGTTTATAGCATGCATACTTCATACTATGGGAAGTTTCTGTGCAATGAACCTTTCATTGTTATTATTTGATTAGATTATCTAATAGGGCTGGGTAAAAAAAATATCGATTTCTCGATATTAATCGTAGGGGTGGTTAATCGGTCTGATTTCCCGATTCGATTCGATTACGATTATTGAAGTCCCGATTCGATTACAGTCGATTTTCGATTATTAACGATTCTCGATTAGCGATTAGCGATTATTGATTTTCCATTTCACAACAGTAAACGAAAATACACTACAAAGTGTTTGCGGTATTAAAAAAAGTCAGCTGCTGAATTACTTAACTCTTTTATTGAGTAACAACAACTCAAAGCACTTTCTGTGTCGTGTAGTTATAACTTCAGAATTATTTGTATGTAGCTTATGTTCTGTAGAACACAGAAATGAATACATCACATTGTGTTGTGACTCATCAAGTTGAACTAAACAATAACAAATAAATGAAAGGCTTATTTCCTTTAGGAAGTAGATCACAACCAACATACTGTAGAAATTGGACAATTTTCTTCTAGAAAGACAAGGTGTTGTAGCAAGCAACGCTCGTTAGGCCGGAGACACACTGGCTGCGTGGCGTGAGCGTGGCGTTTCTGTTGCGTGTCAGCTGCGTCGCGTTTTCTGTGTCTTTGCACACCAGAAACGTGTCTGCTGCTAGGTGACAGAGGGACAGTCTACATTTGGGTTAGCGGTGTGTTAATCCTTACTACAACAATTTCAACTCTTGCCTCTTGCCTTTACGACAACAATTTCAACTGTTATCACACATCTTCCAAAATCCGAAAAATAGGGAAGTGGGCTGTCTGTTTATTTCAATAACATTTACAAATTTTGTGTAGCTTTAAAGAGCCTATATTTAGCCTGATGGTGGACCGTCACTCAGGCCATCCTTAAAAATATTTTGGTTTGCAGTAACAGCAAAAAAAAAAAAAAAAAGGGTCGGTAGGTAGGTCTATATATATTTTTTTCAAGATTCAATGTAAAAAAAAAAGGATAATTTTGGTCATGGTGATTAGGTCGGTATGAATTTAAACAAATTTGCATATCGTGACGTCACTGACTGGGTCTTCAACCCCCATGCCTTCGGGCGCACCATTGCGAACCTCATTCTGATACAGGTTATAGACCACAAACAATTTGAAATCTTTGTAAAAAAAAAAAAACATATTTATTGCATTAATTCCAGCTGCATTCATTTGGAAAAAAATAGGCAGAATCAAAAGAAAAAAAGGAGCCACTAGATTTCAATGAAAGTGGATTTTCAGAGGGAAACAAATAAATTAAAATGACTAATCTCACCAGCGCTGCGCCGACCAATAAAACAGCGCGTTTGGCACCATTCGTTTACATTTGACCCATACTGTTACAAGCCCCCTTTCTGGTCTAGGGGCAGGAAAGGAGGGTAACAAAAAGTTGCAGGGAGAGAGTGAGAGATTTGACCCATAAACATCTGCTATTATTAACGGAAATCAGTGTGGTCAAATAGCTAGGCGCATTGTAGGAAACTATAGGCCGATTAAGTAGTCCTGACATATTATGGAATGGTCGATTTTCTTTTGTGCAATTTAGTACATTTCGGTATGGGATGTGCTGTTTTATTGGTCAGCGCGGCGCTGGTGAGATTAATTCGCGCCGCTCTGACCATTGGCTGGCGCAAGCAAACACTTCTCCTGCGCTGTCGAGTCTGTCGCGCTCGCGCGTCTCGGTCCATTGAGCCACGCAGATTACAAGTCAGCGCAGCGCGAACTCTGTAACACACCGCGCCGTTTCGTCCCCCTTTCGGTGTGTTTGGCTTCCCACACTTATGTGTGTTTGTTTGTCAGAGCCTGCAGTTGCTGTGTGACGCGCGTTCGCGGTGGGCATGTCATGACGAGCTGGACGCGCTCCGAGAAAAGGCCGTTAACATCGATTCCCTATTTGACCATTAAGAATTTCGAATAATGAGCGACTAAATGTAGGCTCATACAGACGTATTTCACAAGCAGCCGCGCCGCAGCCATCATCACCGAGCGCGAACCATTGACAGTGAATGAAACGAAGCGAACGCACAGGCCATAGTGTGACATGCGTAAACCAATGGTGTAAACATAATCATAATAGATGACGCCACGGGTTTTTATTTAAAAGAAAGAACGTAGCCTACGCAATTTATATTCACAATACTTACTATAATAAATGTATATTATTTTATTGCATTTGTATTAGTTGTTTGAAGAGTAAAAAAAAAATCGGTCGGTCTTAATGCAAGTTTACAACCGGCAAGTCGGTCGGACTAAAAGGGGAAAAAAATAAATAATTGGGTCGGTCCTAATTTGACAGGGTCGGTCGGGTTACGGCAAACAAGAATATTTTTAAGCATGGCCTCAGAAGACACACTATGTTGTTATTGTAGCTTATTATCATTATATCCTCCTGAGGCCCAGAACGTTTTTTTCAAAAGTTTTTTTTCTTCTTCATGTAATCACATTGTTAAGAGCATAAGAAACAAATGAAAAAAAAAAAGAGATATTTTATTCATATGTTATGCTATGACCTCTGTAGTGAACACCAGGACTCGATTGTTTAAAAAAATAAAAATGACATAAATTTGTATATAGGCAAAAATAATGGCAATATTTGAAAATCGATAATTATTATTATTATTATTATTATTTGTTTAAATTACATTGATATCTGAATTTATATCAAAACCTAGACTTTCAAACATCAAAATGTAATTTATTAATATGTATTCGTGTACAAAATGACATATAAACATCGTTTCCTATTCTATTTTGCCTGGAAACGCTTCCAACACGCTTGCGTGTCGCGTGAAAAATAGGCGTCGGTTCTATTTCTAGCATGCACGCGTTTTCCGCGCGGCTCATGCAGGCAGTGTGCAAGCTCTAACCTGTTAACATGGGAGCCGAAATAAAAACGGACACACCACGCAGCTGAGACGCCGCCACGCAGCCAGTGTGTCTCCGGCACACCTGCTCTCACTCGCTCTGGCTGCCGTTACACGCGCTTGCGGAACTGGGCGCGTTCGTGACGTTCAACTTCCGGTATAACATTTTTTACAAAATAAAATAATGCAATTTTTTTTTATATATATATAATAAAAAATCGATTTTTGAAAATGTAATAATCTATTCATACTCGTCCATAACATAATCGCGATTAATCAATAATCGATTTTTTTCACCACCCCTAATTAATCGATTCTCATTTTTACGAACCGATATCAATTCTTAAATCTCAAGAATCGATTAGTCATCCTGTTTTCAGTTGATGAATGAATGGAACATTGTAGCGCGCATCCCATCCAATAAATCGCAATAATCTTTGTGCTTTGTTACTATTGATACTAAATAAAGTCTCAAATTTCAAATTACGTCCATTTTCTTATGAAATTCAAAAACATAAATACCGTTTTGAGATCGCTCTGGCTCAGCTCAGCTCAAGAGAAGCACATGATCTCCTCTTCTGCCTTAATAATACCAGTTACAGCGCCAAATAAACATGAACGAACGTCTGAAAGTGTGTTAAAAGAGAGAGAACAACTTATCGAAATCTGTATCATGTCACGTGGAATCGCTCAATCAGTGTTTCACCCGTGGAAAGACGTCAGTAAAACGCTTGTAAACAATGTCATGTAACGTCACATTTACCTCAGAAAAACATATGTGACCATAAACTCGTTAGTCAGCTAGAAAAATTAACTCTAAAGAGGAGCATTTTTCTAAATATATGCACCATATTACATATTCATTATAATTTTTAATGTTCTTCGATATTTAATGCATGTTTGAATAAATCTGGCAAGTTTTTATGACAGCCACCATTTAAATGTTTATATTTCATATAACATTCTTATTATAAAAATAAATAAGTGTAATTTAAGTGTTTGTATAGCTACAAATCAGTTCATTTTTACCTTCAATATTATAGTAGGCTAATGAAGCCTATAGGCTACAACTGACTCCCATAGTTTACAGCATTAGTTAAGAGATTTGTTTTCCTTGTGAGAATTTGCCATGTATTGTACCTGATATCCAAAATAATCCATATTGAATCGAATCGGAATTGAATTGCAAGCTTGTTAATCGAAATCGAATCGAATTGTGAAATTTGTGTCAATACCCAGCCCTATTATCTAATATTAGGGCTTTTAAAAAATGTTTAAAGTATTTATCATTGCATATTGCACGGTTACACATTAAATGGGCAATACGGCAATATCACACTCGTAGATCACACTGTGATCGGCCGTAAATAATAACAGCGTGCTGATATACAGCCATATCGCACGCCTACAAGTGTCATATTGCATTAATAAATATCAGTGATACTGCACTGTATAAAGTAAGATCAAGGTGATTGAGATGATTTGAGTATAAAGTGCCTGAATGAAATATTGACTGATAAATTTAACTGTCTGTACAAATGATATTTCAGTGATTATGTCATCATTATATCAGTTAGTTCTGGATCTCTAGATTACAGTTTGTGTCGGTCACTGAAACACATCGGCCTATTGGTCAACCTATAGAAATAATACCTCATATAATACAAAACATACAAAAACACACACAGTTACACTCACACACTTTTACTCTGTAAACTCTAGAGATGATGTTTGTGAAAGTCCCAGTAGATCAAGAGTTTTTGAACTCATCAATAATGACTCAAAGTTTTGTAAACATCCTTTTTTTTACTCCGTTCGGATGTGTACGAACTTGTCACGCTCGAGGCATTTATGCTATTCAAGAGAGAGACTGCACAAGGGAGTAAATAAATGAGGCATATTATTTATATAAAATAATGTTTATTGAGCAACAACAAAAGCCATTAGGAAATAAACACAAGCAAACAATTCAGTTAAACGTACAAAAGCAGTGCTCTAGTACAGGATTTAAGTGAAAATATAGAGTTATAAAACTTAATTTTCCTCTTAACCAAAATCGATTTCCTCTGAAATAAGTAATAGATTAATAAGACCAAAGATTGCCAGTTTGATATACCCCAGATTAATTAGATGTTTAACCACTATCTACATAAAAGCCAGATGGCCTGGAGCTCGAACCTGCGAAAGATTGGAAAATAGGCACTATGATTATATATGAGTCACATATTTCAGGTCTAAAGAACTACATTCTCGCCTAAAAAACTACATTTTGTGACACAACAGTAATTGTGATGTGTTGTGAAACGGTTCCAGTTCTGATCCTGTGTGAATATCGCACGGCTGGAAAACGCTCTCAGCCAATCAGATTTGACAACCAGGAAGAACAGTTGTATAATATACAATAATAACAATTTGTGCTGTCAAACGATTAAAATATTTAATCGCGATTAATCGCATTAGTGTCGCAGTTAACTCGCGATTAATCCCGTTAGTGTCATAGTTAAATCGCGATTAATAGCATTAGTGTCATAGTTAACTCGCGATTAATAGCATTAGTGTCAGTTAACTCGCGATTAATCCCGTTAGTGTCATAGTTAACTCGCGATTAATAGCATTAGTGTCATAGTTAACTCGCGATTAATCGCATTAATGTCATAGTTAACTCGCGATTAATAGCATTAGTGTCATAGTTAACTCGCGATTAATAGCATTAGTGTCAGTTAACTCACGATTAATAGCATTAGTGTCAGTTAACTCGCAATTAATAGCATTAGTGTCAGTTTACTCGC